TCGGAGAACCGGTTGTTAGAAGAAATTACTGGCCTAATCCTGTAAGGAAGGCAGGAAGGAAACATTCTGGTGTTGCTTACAGAAACTGCCTCTCGGTTAACCCTTATTACATTCTTGGCAGGACTAGACTTCCTGTCTCAGGAACGTCTCTGGAGTTTTTTCCCCCTCCTTGTGTGGAGTGACCATTCAAAGTTACAATGGCACTGAAAAAAGTGACTTATGACCATTTTTCACACTTATGACTGTTGCAGCATCCCCACAGTCATGAGAGGCCGGGCGAGGAGATGCGTGCCTCGATGTGAGTGATGTTGAGTTGGCCACACCCAGCCAATAACATGACTACCAAGCCATGCCCACCACCTAAGCCACGCCCACAAAACCAGTTGTTAAAAATTTGAATCCCACCCCTGCTATTACTCTGTATTCAGTATGCCTGGGTACCACAATCATGTGGCTGATTTGATTGTTTTGTTCCTGCCACAGGGGTATGTGCAAGTATTTATGGGTTTTTATTACATAGTGGATTTTTTTTCACAGTTGTAAGTTGCACGGAGTCACACCTGTGTGAGTTGGGCGGCTCTATAAATTGGTTTAAGCAATAAAATAATCACACACAAAAAATCTCCAAAGTGGGTAGATGAAAAACCTGGCCCTGTATATATTCGGGACATGCCCCTCTCCGCCAGAATGGGACAACTTGGTGGGGCCAACTCGCCACCGGACAATTCACTGTGGCCCACTCACCTCAGGACAACTTGCTGTGGGACAGTTCCACCAACTGCAACATTTAAAATAATTTTTTAAAACATGATTCCAATTGTTGTCGTTTGCGTTTGCTTTTCGCAGCCTTTCTTGAATGAGTATCTTCCACCATTTCTTCAATATTCGTGTATCTCTTGTCCCGTGGCGAGTTGGCCACGCCGACTTGGCCTAGACCCCTCCCCTCTTCTCCGCACCCCGAATCATCGCTCCACTTGTGGGACAGATCTCAAGGATGCTTTTTTGTTGTGGTGGTAGTGGTGGTGACGATTGCATAACCTGTTCTTCTCTCCAGTACCTGATGGAAGGTAGTTACAACAAAGTTTTCCTGGCCAAAGGCAACATCCCAGCCGAGAGTTACGCGTTTTTCATTGACATCCTGCTGGACACTGTCAGGTGTGTTTTATTCCTTTCAGCTTGGGGACATGCATGTGTGTGTGAGGGAGGGAGGGAGGGAGAGATTCAAGGCTGCATCGTGCTTTCTCCAAAACAAGAGGGGGCTCTCTTATTACAGATAGTTCTTGAGTTTGGACATTCTCAGTCTGTGATGACCCAAAGGGGCGTGGCACAAAGGCAACACAGTCAGATAATCAATAAGAGGTCCTTTATTAGCTCCAACTTTGCCCCCAACGTCAGGTTACCTTCTGGGCTGGAGAAAAACTCTCCCAGGAACAGCCTTTGGCTGCAGAGAATTAAGTCCAAAACAGGGTAAACACAAACTGTAACTATAAGTCCAATCAAGGCAAAATGAGGTCATTAGTCCTACAGGGCAGGAGAAGGAATTCCAGACGTGAAGGAACAGCAGTAATTCAACATTGGGAGGATGCCAGGAACACAGATAATCTGTCAACAGAAGATAAACTTAGGTTTGTTCCCAGCAGATGCCGCACTCACCTTGCATCTCTTTTAAATTCTCATTCTCAGCTGTGGCTAATGAAGGGAATCAGGGCCCTTTCCTCCCCCCGTAAGCCATGCAACCCACGTTGCTCCCTTCTCTGTTCCTCCCAGCATGCTCTAGGATAAAGAGGGGGTGGGCCTGGGTCTGAATTCCCTTTCTCTTGTTCTACCTCTTCCCTGCTCTGCCCAGCCGGACTTTGCCCTTCCCCAGTTTCCTCCACAGCCAACGGAGCCACACTCCCATTCCCTGTCAGCTGTTTGTCTTCCTCCTCGGATTCAGACTCCACAGGGGCATAACACAGTCATCCAGGTCACAGTTGTCCCAAAGATGCTTTTTTTCCCCCAAGAAGCAACTGGACTTTCTGGGGTTTGGTGTTTTTTTGTTTGTTTGTTTTGAAGACATTTCACTTCTCGTCCAAGAAGCTTTTTCGGCTCTGACTGGATGGTGGGGAAGGGAAGGTTTGATACTCCTTGCAGAAAGCTGGTCCTTTGCATCCTTTTTAGAAAGTCGTTGAGGCCCCTTGGAGGTTTATCCATGTCCTCAGGGTCACCTGAGTGGTGCAAAGGGGTGTGGAGCCTTCTTGGGACAGTTGAAAGGACCGTGTTGTAGACCGGAGATAGAGACTGTTGTGTCCTCTGCTCAAAATTCAACAGCCTTCTCTCTACCAAGGGTGACGGATACGACACCCTTTACCTCCAGTCTACAACACGGTTGCCTGTTCTGGGCTTCGTCCCGAGCTCTTTTTTCCCTAATCTGGGTTCTTCTCTCCCCCCCCCCCCCCCCCAGGGACGAAATCCCCAGCTGCATCGAGAAGGCCTATGAGAAGATCCTCCTCAACGAGGCCACCCGCATGCTGTTCTTCACCCCCAAAAAGATGTCCGACTATGCCAAGAAGGTGAGAGCGGCCAGCCGGTTGGACACTGGCTTCGTTGACCCCAGCCCAGCTGCTCCCACGTTCCTCTCGAGCTGTCAACGGGGCTGCACGGATTCTTGAGCTGCTTTGGCGTCTTCCTCTGTGGGGAACTTCCTTCCTACCTTCCCATCCCTCTTTTACCCACCCTCCTTCCTTCCTGCCAACACTTTCCTTCCTTCCTTCCTCCCTCCTCCTTTCCTGCCAACTCTTTTCTCTTTTTGCCTGCCTGCCTACCAACCCCTTCCTTCCTTCCCTTTTTCCTTCTTCTTTCTCTATCTCTTCCTCCCTCCCTCCTTCCTTCCTGCAAGTTCTTTTCTCTTTCTTGCCTGTTTGCCTACCATTTCCTCTCTCCCTCCTTCCCTCCATCCGTCCTGCCAAGCGCCAACCCTTTTCTCTCTTGCCTGCCTGCCTACCAACCCATCCTTCCTTCCTTTTTTCCTTCCTCTTTCCCTACCTCCCTCCCTCCTTCCTGCCAAGTGCCAACCCTTTCCTTTCCTTCCTTCCTTCCTTCCTTCCTTCCTTCCTTCCTTCCTTCCTTCCTTCCTTCCTTCCTTCCTTCCTTCCCTCCCTCCCTCCCTCCCTCCCTCCCTCCATTCACACAATTCACACAACCCCTTTCTGGTGTCGGATCTTCCTTCCTTCCATTCACACAATCTACACAACCCCTTTCTGGTGTTGGGTCTTCCTTCCTTCCTTCCTTCCCTTCTTCTCTCCCTATCTCTTCCTCC